TCGATCATTGTTGTTGTTTTTTTTATTTTATTTTTAAATTATAGTTTACATCCAATATTATTTTGTATTCGTTTCAGGTATACTTTACAAAGTGTTCCCCCTGATATTTTCAGTACTCACCTGGCACCAGATATAGTTATTACCATACTAGGGGCCCAGTGCATGAGGTTGTGCATGGCGGGGGGGGGGGGGGGGGTCCCTCAGCCCAACCTGCGCCCTCTCCAATCTGGGAGCCCTCAGGGGGAGCCCTCTCTAACCCGGGAGTTTGTGTCTGTCTTTGCAATCACATGAGCGAATTGTCTGAGACCCCAACCCTCTTTGGTTTGGTGCTCACAGAATAATAGAGGTCTTTTTTTTTCTTTGCTCCATTGGTGGAGATTTTCTAGAAGTTGCAGAATATCTTCCTTTTAATTTTTCCTTGACACTCTGACTTTACTTAAGTCTCTCACCCGAAACAGTAACTTGCTCCAGGCTCACTTTGCTCCAGTGTCTCCAGGGATCCCGCAGCACGTCCGCCATCAGAACTATAATTCCCAACATTCCTGGTGCTCCCCGTGCTCTTGGTTTCTGCTTCCAGTCCAGGGGCTGCACAAACCAAAAGGACTTGGAACTCCAGCCGTCCCCCGTCCGGTAAGCCCGGCCACTCCAGTGGTGTCCCCGGGACCCTGGCCGCTCAGCGTGGGCACGCATAGGCCCAAAGTGGCCAAAGGGCGTCCAGCCCGCCTCCAGCTGCTCGGTGCATGCGCGCTGCCCACAGGCTCGCCTTCTTTGTCGGGTTAATTTTCAGACTCACTCCTGATGGGCTGTGGGCATCGTGGAGGGATGGGCAATTTACATATTTGTCTATTATTAGTATAGATTCGTGACTATATTCATTATATTCCCATGACTATTTTGTAACTACTAATTTGCATTTCTTCATTGTGGTTCTGACTTGCATTTCCCTTATAGTTATATCTGTATTTCTTCCTTATATCTATCTATCATATATCTGTTGGTCAGGCCCCTTTTTATGAGCACAAACCACATTTGCAACCCAGTGTCAGAGGTCACAGGCTTGGACACATTTTCTAGTTCCTTCCCTGAATTATTTTAAAATTCCCTGACACTGTTTGTTGCCTGTACCTCTTTTTTTTTTTTTTTAATCCCCAGCTGAGGATATCTTTTCCACTGCTTTTCAGAGAGAATAGAAGGGAGGGGAGAAGGAGAGAGAGAAAGAGAGTAACATGGATAGGTTCCTCCCGCGTGCACCCTGACTGGGAGAGAGGAGCAAACCTGCAAATGAGGTACATGCCCTTGACCAGGAATCATCCCTGAGACTCTTGGGTGTGCAGGCTGATGCTCCCACTGAATACACTGGCCAGGGTGTAGTCTGTCCCTCTTTAAATGATGTTATTGCATACTCATTCTTGTTGCTTTTTTCCCTTTTCAAAAGGCATTTCTTCCCTACAATATTTCTCTGACTCAGCCATCCAAGAGATTTTTTTTAAAATTTCTAAGTACATGCTTATTTGTCTCTGAGATTCTCTTCCTCCTTCACTTTAATAGTTTCCAGATTCTTTGGTGTTATTTACCTTTAAAATTCTATCTTTCCACTTTTTCCCAATAAAGGTTTCATTTAAGAAGTAAGGAGAGTTTTTGGCCTGGCTGGTGGGCTCATAAAGTTGAGCGTCTTCTGTGCATTGCAAGGTCACCAGTTTGATTATGGTTGTGGGTTCAGTCCCTGACTGGCATGGTTTTGGGAAAACTGATCAATGTTTCTCTCTTTCACCTTCTTTCTCTTTCCCTCTCCCTTCCTCTCTCTCTAAAAATATCAATAAAAATCCTTTTTTTTTTTTTTTTTAGAAGAGTTTCTGGCCCTAGCTGGTTTTGCTCAGTGGATAAAGCATTGACCTGTGGACAGCAGGGTCCCAGGTTCAATTCTCATCAAGGGCACATGCCCAGTTGTGGGCTCGAACCCCCAGTATGGGGCATGCAGGAGGCAGCCAATCAATGATTCTGTCTTATCAGTGATGTTTTTATCTCTCTCTCCCTTTTCCCTTCCTCTATGAAATAAATAAAAATATATTTTTTTAAAAAAAGAGTTTGGGGCTCAACAAAAGAAAAACATTTAAAAAATATCTAGAACTCCAAATTCCTCTCTGGAGGAATTTTGAAAATTCATCTATATTCACCCCCACTAAAACATAACCATTAATATGTGGGCATATACAATTTCAGTAAATTTCCCCCCCCCAATGCAATTGGTGTTTTTAAAATGAAACTAGAAAATTCATGCACTGGAGTGGGGTCCCTAAACCTGGCCTGCTCCCTATCACAGTCCGGAAGCCCTTAGGGGCGGGAGGAGACCTGGTGATCAGGGGAAGGAGATGCCCCCATCACACCTCTGCTGCTGCCACTGCCGACAGCGCAAGCCTTGGCCAGCCCTGGTTACCTGAGCCTGGTTACCTGGGCGGCTGGGCAGCTGACACCTGAGGCTTACCTGCTCCTGGGGCTGGCCCTGGGTGGCTGCGGGTGCTGAGGGACTGGGTATCATCATCTTGTGGCTTTGAGCAACATCTTTGAGTGTGGGGCAGTCAGTTAGCATATTTTCTCCTTTTTGGCTGAGGGCAATGCCATCTTTGCAATGGTGTGAGGGTCAATTAGCATATTCCTTCTTCATTAGATAGGATTGGATCATTCAAAAATACTGTTTTGGTTTAATAATATATTAATATATGATAAAACACACCTTTATTTCATTAAATATTATCTACAGCATCTTTTAAAAAGGACTCAAGTAGTCCAGCTGATATGATTTAGTGGTTGAGCATCCACCTATGAACCAGGAGGTCAAGGTTTGATTCCCAGTCAGGGCACATGCCTGGGTTTTAGGCTTGATCCCTAGTAAAGGTGGGGGGAGGGGGGTGGGAGTCAGCCAATCAATAATTCTCATCATTGATATTTCTATCTCTCTCCATCTCCCTTCTTTTCTCTGAAATCAATAAAAAAAAAATATTTTTTTAAATAAAGGACTCAAGTAATCTTGGATTTTTGTATAATAATTAGAATAGTAGTCCTAAATGACCACTCAATGGATAACAAATTACAAAGAGTAATTTGATATCCATCCTTCTACATTTTTTCTATGCATATACTTTAGAAAAACAAAAACAGCTATATACCAATTGCTTTGTAATGTGCTTTCAAGTATTGCGGTAAAATTTACATAACATAAAATTCACCATTTTAATTATTTTAAAGTGTACAATTCAGTGGCATTTAGTACATTCTAAATGTTGTATAACCATCTATTATCTAGTTCCAGAACATTTTCAGCTTCACAAAAAGAAACCCTGCAGCCTGTAAGTGGTCACTCCCTGTTCTTTCCTTCCCCCAGTCCTTGGCAACCACTAATATGCTTTCTGTTTCTATAAATTTGCCTATTTTAGATATTTCAGATTAAGGGAATCATACAATATGTGTCCTTTTGTGTCTTGCTTCTTTTACTTAACATAATATTTTCTGGATTCATCCATTTTGTAGCATGTTGGAATAAGAAATATTCCATCACATTTTGCTTATTCATTCATCAGTTGATGGATAGTTGAGTTGTTTCCACCATTTTTAAAAATATATATTTTTTATTGTTTTTTTTTTATAGAGAGGAAGAGAGAGGAATAGAGTCAGAAACATCGATAAGAGAGAATCATCAATCAGCTGCCTCTTGCACACCCCTTTCTTGGGATGTGCCCATAACCAAGGTACATGACCTTGACCGAAATCGAACCTAGGACCTTTCAGTGTGCAAGCCGAAGCTCTATCCACTGAGCCAAACTGATTTCGGCTGTGACAACTGTGAATAATGCTGCCATGTATGTTCATGTGCTTCTTATTTGTTTGTTTGTTGGTTGGTTGGTTTAAACACCTCTTTGGTATATGAATAGAATTGCTGGATCATGTGATAATTCTGTGCTTAACCTATTGAGGAAATGCCAAGCTATTTTTTCTTTAAAATTTTTTTTAATTGATTGATCTTGAGAGAGAGAGAGAGAGAGAGAGAGAGAGAGAGAGAGAGACAAACATTTATTCATTGTTCCACTTATTTATGAAATCACTGGTTGCTTTGCTTCTTATATGTGCCCTGAACAGGATTGAACCTGAAACCTAGATGTATTGGGATGACACTCTAACCAACTGAGCTATCTGGCCAGGGTCCACCAAACTATTTCCCATAGCAGCATTTTAAATTCCTATCAGCAGTACATGAGAGTTCTAATTTCTCCACATCCTTGAAAACACTTGTTTATTTTCCATTGTCATTTTTTATAGCTATCCTGGTAGAGGTGAAGTGGTAAAGTGGTATCTCATGGATTTGAATTGCATTTTCCTAATGACTAATGGTGTTCAACATAATTTTCATTTGCTTATTGGTCATTTGTCAATGTTGTGGATTCAATCCCCAGTTAGGGTACACACAGAATCAGCCAATGAATGCATAAATAAGTGAAACAACGCACTGATCTCTCTCTCACTCTCTCCCTTTCTCTCTCTCTAAAATTAATCAAAGCAAGCATGGGTCCTGGGTGCTAGAGAAAAACCGGTGCCACCAGCCGGGGGAAGGAAGGCCTACTCTTCCGCAAATTTCATGCATTGGGCCTCTAGTCCTATATAATAAAACTGTAATATGCAAATCGACCGAAGGGCGGAAAGACCAGGTGCTATGATGCACACTAACCACCAGGGGGCAGATGCTTGATGCAGGAGCTGCCCCCTGGTGGTCAGTGTGCTCCCCCTGTGGGAGTGCCACTCAGCTAGAAGCCTGGCTCAAGGCTGGCGAGGGCAGTGCAGTGGTGGGAGCCTTTATTGCCTCCGAAGCAGCTAAGGACCCCTTGGGGGATGTCCCCCTGCCGGCGGTGTAGGCCCAGGGGAATGGGAGGAGCGGACTGCCAGAGGGTGCAGGCTGAGCTGAGGGAAACCCCTGCACGACATTCATGCATTGGACCTCTAGTAAAATATAAATTAAGTCTCTTGCTGCAGTGACACGACTGGGAGCCATGGACCTGGTCTGGGAGCGAAGGCCTAGGATTGTTTCAAAAAATGGCAGACAAACCAGGCATGGGGGATGTCGCCAGCTTCGATAAGGCCAAGCTGAAGAAGACGGAGACACAGAAGAGTATCCTGCCGACCAAAGAGACCACTGAGCAGGAGAAGCAAAGTGAAATGTCCTAAGAACCGGAGGATTTCCACCTCCGGCATCTTCGGGAGTCCCCTGCGGTGTGGAGAAAAGACCACCTGCAAGAACAAACGAGCCACAAACTGCACTGTGAACCAGGACACTCGGAGCCCATACCATTGACCTGTGCGTCCCTTAGGGGACCCCCTTTCCCCCATCGAACTGCCAAATTCTCCAGTTTGCCCTGGGATATTGTAGAACATTATTCGTATGATTAATGGAATAAAACACACCTCGTGGCAAAATATATATATTTTTTTAAATATATACATTAATTAATATAATTAAATAAGGCAGAAAAAAACATAGACAAAGAAGGAAAAACAAAAGAAACAGAGACAACTCCCATTTAGTAAATGGCATCTGACTTTCAAAGAGAAGCAACACACAGTAGCTTAGTAGCAGGTTATCTCTGGCCTGAGGCCCAAGGAAAGGAAAGGAGGCTCTTCCCTCTGATTTTTTATGCGGGGAAAGCAGGTTGCAACATCAAAGACAGTGGTTTCCCTTCCTCCTCATTTCTCCGCCTCTTCCGGGGCGAGGGGGAACGGGGGAGTGGTAGAGTCAGAGCCCTCATAAAAACACACACAAACACACTGTAAAGTGTTCAAGAGAGGCTAACAGCAGGGACAGTTCTACAGATTTGCTTTCACAAACTGGGACGTTTTTAACACATTATTCTAATTAGGGGGGGCGGGTGGGGGAGCGCCAAGTGAAACTGTTTCCCGGCCTTCTCTCCGGTGCTGAGTCACCGCTCAGTCACCGGTTCCGCTCAGGGCAGTCTCCCAGCCAGATGCCCCGCGCCCTGGAGAGGGCCTCTCCTCACCTGGGCGCACAGCCCCTGCCATGTTGATAGGACGCACTGTCTCCCAGCGACAGCGCCGCCCCTGACGTGCTCAACGCGTCCATCAAAGATCACACTGGAGGCAGCACCGGCGGGGCAGGTCCAGATGATGGGCGTGGACACAGAGCAACACACAATGGGCCTGGACAAGAAAAATGAAACCCAGAAACCCCACTGAATAACCTTTTCTCCCTGAGATTCAGAACATCTCGGTCCCAGGTGGAGAGTGGCTACCCAGTATTCATCAGGCCAAGCAGGCGAGGTCAGCTCGGATTACTCCTAGATAGTCGAGCTTACTGATTTCCCTGGTGTGGCTCGTTTCCAGGATTGCATAACAGACAGAGGCCCGAGCGGCTGAGGATGACGGAAGGGCCCTGCACTCCCCCGCCTGCTCGCAATGCCCGTGTGCCCCGGGCTTGGCGGACTCACTGCAGGGAGGGGTGTGGGCGGCGCCTGCCGGGTGCAGAGGCTCCTTCTCCAGCAGCCACACGCCATTACCCGGCGGAAGGCTCTGTGAGACCTCAACCCGGTCAGCCGAGAGGCCACGAGATGGCAGCAGAGGACACACCCGGGGCCACAAAACCTGAACCGTCTGCAAAAGCAGCTCCTTTCATTTGGGAAAGACCATTAGTTGTCTATAATCATGTACTCAAGGCCGGGATACATGTCTGAGTTTTAAAGAAATGAGGGTAACATTCATCATCATGGACAATGTCCCACCCACCACAGCATTCAGCTGCATAGGAAGCCACAGGAATACCCTGTTTCCCCGAAAATAAGACAGTGTCTTATATTAATTTTTGTTCCCAAAGATGCGCTAGGTCTTAACTTCAGGGGATATCTTATTTTTCCATGAAGAAGAATATGATACACATTTACTGTTAAATGAAAATAAAGGAAATTTATTACCTGTATACGGTACAGTAGTACGGTAGTTGTCAACACAAACCAGATAAACTGTGAATCCTACAGTATCAAGAATTTACTCATTTATTCAATGACAATCATGTCATCATCTTCTGGAACATCATCATAACAATCCAATTCCTGAATTTCCTGGTGAATTTCTTGTGACTCCATTTCTTTCAGAATCAGTGGACCAAATCTCTCATGTTTAGTCTAGGGGGGGGGGCCTTATTTTCGGGGGGATGCCTTATATTTCACTCAGAAGGAAACCTGTAAGTAGGTCTTATTTTCGGAGGATGTCTTATTTTCGGGGAAACACAGTAGGACATTTCTCCAATGCTTAAAGCGAGGTATATTGGTCAAGGCCTTTAAAATCTGACGTCAGCTGCAGCCTTGTCACACAGTCACTGCTTCCTGTGAAGTCTCAATAGGCAGCAGTTTAAGTAAAACACGAGCGACTTCCACAGAAGCAGCCAAACTGGCCAAGGGGTGGATACTTTGCTGGGAAGCATTGCAGCAAAGTAGAATGCTTTCAGGGAGCAGCCAGGGACTCTCACACTAGGCAGCAGGGAGGGGTAAACATGAGGATCACAGGGCAAGCCTCACAGACTGTCTTCACTTGCAGCTGGCAGAGGATAATGCACAGGAAAGGGGCTTTAGTAGCACAGGGACTAAAATCTCTGATCTGACTTACTAATGCTCCTTTTGTATACACATCTGTCCCTCCCCCACCAAAAGTGTCTCCAGACATTGCCAAATAACCCCTGGGGGACTAAATGCTGCTTGAGATCCAATGCCATAGAGGGTTTTTTGATTTTAAAAGTTTTAAGCACATAATGTTAAATCTCTCTAAGACTTGAATTTCAGAAAAGGCCTGGAGAGCCTACAAAAATCGTATAGCACATCTAAAACCTTAATTCTGTCAAATTTAAGAGAAGTCCAAACCTGTAAGAATTTTTATGAGTTTATTTGAGCCAACCTGATGATAATTGCCGGGACGCATGATATGGATGAATTGAGAAAATGCTCAGGAAAATGACAGTTGTATCACTTATGCTATACATCAGAATCAAAGGGGAATACATAAGGGGCGACATGAATTTTATTGGTGATAGATTAGGAAAGCAAGAGAAAACAAAGGGTGGGGTGGGGGTCTCTGGGACTAGATAGAAAGTACAACCAATAGACACACATTTATTTTACATAGGAGGGTACAGGATAGTTAACAATTAACAATCTTATATAATAAAAGCTTAATATGCTAAGTGTCTGGTTGTCCGGTCATCCACTCAATCAATCAAAGTGTAATATGCTAATGATATGCTACGGTTGCTCAACTGCTTGCTATGGCATGCACTGACCACCAGGGGGCAGACAGTTGACTGGTTGACCCGTCACTATGATGTACACTGACCACCAGAGGACAGACATTCTGACCAGTAGGTTAGCTTGCTGCTGGGGTCTAGCAGATCAGGACTGAGCAAGATGGGCCAGACATGCCCTGGAGCCTTCCCATGGTCCCTCGAAGGTTAGCCAACCTCCCATGTCCCTCCCCAGCCTTGATTGTGCCCCAGTGGGGCCCCTAGGTTTGGCCTGCACCGTCTTGCAATCCTGGACCCCTTGGGGGATGTTGGAGAGTTGGTTTTGGCCTGATTCCATTCAACACAGGAGCTGCCCCCTGGTGGTCAGTGTGCTCCCACAGGGGGAGTGCTGCTCAGCCAGAAGCTGGGCTCACAGCTGGCAAGCACAGCAGTGGTGGCAGGAGCCTCTCCCGCCTCCATGGCAGCGCTAAGGATGCCTGACTGTAGGCTTAGGCTTGCTCCCAGTGAGGAATGGCCTAAGCTGTCAGTTAGACATCCCCCGAGGGCTCCTGGACTGTGATAGGGTACAGCCGGGCTGAGGGACAACTCCCTCTGCCCTATGCACAAATTCCATGCACTGGGCCTCTAGTTAATAATAACAATAAGGGGATTTGTGGTCTACTTTGTGCAGTGGTTGTGCTTTGAGGGGTCTGGAAAAAAGGAAGTTACTTTGATATTGATATTCCAAAGATATGTTAACAGGTATGTCTCTGTACATACAGAAAAAGATGACAGACAGGCTCAGTTTGATTGACTTTTGTTAGGGAAAATGCCAGCCTAGGACATGACTACAATCTACCATAAACTTTTAATTTCAGACTATCATATGGGGTTAACTTGGTTTCTGAGTTTGTAAGGCCTCCGCTGAGCTTTTCAGGTTTAGTATGTGGTCCCTTTTTTTGCCCATAATTCCTACCATATGTTTGTATAATGGAGAGACTATAATTGAAGGACTACAGCCTGAATCTGGTCAATTAAAAAAGTTAATTAACATTTTAAAATTAGATGATTTCACATTTAAAAGCCAGAATTTTTGACCTTTATAGGAAAATTGGAACTATGGCAATACTAAGCTTACAGTTCCACATGGCATATGTTTGAATGAAGTTGAGTGGAGGAAGGTCATTAAATAGAATGTATGCTTATTAGCTTACTACAGTTCACACCACTCCCTATTTCCTTATACTGTTACACTCATTTTCACTACTCCTCATCTCTATAGGCAATTTATTGTCAACCTCTGATGTGCTTTTTAGTTTTAAATTATTTTCTATGTGCAATTCTATTTTAGCCTTGATAGGTCAGTAGAGAAGTTAAATACTGTGATTATTATCTTGATGTAAGCAAAATGTAGTTCAGAGAGGTTTGATTCGCTCAAACTTATACAACAAAACCAGAATCTTTAGCCCTAGCCAGTTTGGCTCAGTGGATAGAGCGTCAGCCTATGGACTGAAGGGTAGATTTCAATCAAGGGCACATGCTCTGGTTGCTGACTCAATCCCAGTGTGGGGTGTGCAGGGGGCAGCTGATCAATGATTCTCTCTCATTTTTGATGTTCCTATCTCTCTTTTCTTCTCCCTTCCTCTCTGAAATCAATAAAAATGTGTGTGTGTGTGTGTGTCTATTTGTTATATATATAACAAAACCCCCCAGAATCTTTAGATTTCCTCTTTCAGTTCTGTTAATTTTGGGGAGTTTTCATTAAGAACTTCATTTAGTGATTCATGCACCAAAGCCAAAGAAGTAGATATGGGCATAGTAACTGCTAGAATACATGAATTCCAACTGCTTATTCTAGTATCACTCACTGCAAATGATTAACTTTTCCTTTAATGACGATTTCTGCTTCCTTTCTCCTTGCAGGAATATGAAAAGACTGCCCTTCTAGCTGTCTGGAAGTTGGGTGTGGCCCTCTGACTCACCTTGGCCAATAAAGTTCCAGTGGAAGTGGTATTAGTCCCTCTGAGGCAGAAGCATTTAAGGGCTTGTGAACAATTCTTCAGGCTCAGGGAAGGGGTTGGGGCTCTAAGCTTCATAGTGACATGGCAGGATCTCCAAGGGGTGGAGGTCCATCTGCTTGGGTACCTGAGTAACATAACCAGCAGAGGCGCCTGCCAATTACTCGACATGTAGTGTGAGACATACACCTTTGTGGTTTTAAGCCATTGCGATTTTGGCACTGTTACCACAGCATAACTTAGCCCAACCTGACTGATATAAGGATTCATTTGCATGGTCATTGACTTTTTCTCAAGAACTATCTAGAATGCAATTCCTAGACCTGCTCATGTCACTAAAATTTGTAGTTCCTATCTGGAAGACAGTGAGAATTGATTGTTGATTTTTTTTTTTATTTTTTTTTTACTCCAAGTTGTTCATCCACTACCACCTTCTAACTTGGAAGAAAATTATTTTCTGAATCTTTCACACATGAGCTTCCCATTATTCTGGCAGTTAGAGTGGGAGGAGAAGAGAGCGGCCCAGATCTTTTTTTTTTTTTTCCATTCCTAAACCTAATCCCAGAACTATCCCCACCCACTAGTACTCACATAACCTTGTCATAGGGCGACTATTACCACTCCCAAGGTGTCACACACAGAAAGGAGTTGCCGCTGGCACCGCTGCAATGTTAGGGCAAGGCAGCCAGGCTGCGCTCTTTCCTCGCTGGTGCCTGGGCTTGGCCAAACTTCCGAGCAGCAGCATTCTGTCTAAGGGAAAGAAGCCTACTCCAGGGGGAACACACATGGGTGTGAGGCGCACACCCATCCTGGGCACTGTGTGAATTTGGGGTGAGTTCCTTCAGTACTCCAGCTCTGGGCAGTTTCTATAGGGCTAACCAGCTGCCCTGAGTAGTATACTCCTGGGTCTCTATCGGTTTTTTTTCTTTCTGGGCTTTCTCTCTCAAGCCCGCGTGTGCTTGCCGTCTTTGCACACTTTGCAAAGTTCAGAAACGGTGGGGGTTGAGCGCCACGAGAGCTTCAGCAACCAGACGGCGGCGGCCGGGACCGAAGGTCGGCGGGGCTGCGGCGAGGCGGGGGCTGAGCCTGCGCAGTCCCGCTCCCGCCTTGGCGAGGGGCGGCGGCCACGCGGGCTCGCTGCGCCGCGTGCTCGCAGAGGCGGGAAAGTCTCAGGCTGAGCGGCCGCCGCGCCCCTCCCTCTTCCTGCCCAGTCCACCTGTCCGCCCCGGGAGCCGGACCTCCCGAGGCGGCCAGACGCCGGGGGGGGGGAGGGCGGCGTGGAGGGCCCCGGGCTTCTGACTCATCATCTCCAACCCCTTTCTCGCGCGCGCTCCAAGTCTCAGGACTTTAGACTTGGGCGTTGCCAGAGGGGGGCGCGATGACAGCATCCGGGGAACCCCAGCTTTGCCGAGGGCCATCCCCCAGCGCCTGCGGGTTCCCGGAGCTGCCCGAGGGAGGGTCATGGAGCCGCAGCCAGCTCTCAGTTGCCCCGGTTGGGGGAGCGGCGCCCCCTTTCAGAACCACCCGCCTGGCTCCTCCCTGGACGCCGGGCCAGTGGTCGCGTCCGAGGCAAGTCGGCTAGGCCCGGACTTTCTGCTCCTCACGTCACTCAGCAGATGCACAGCGCCCTCACCGCGGAGAAAAGGCTTTTTATTTCCCAGCAGGCCGCGGGGGGTGCGGGGCATCATGGGACTTGTAGTCTCCGCCGGAGTACGGAACCAGTCGGAGGGGGAGAACTAAAACCACCCGTGGATTGATCTCAGAGAGTCGCCGCGTATGCGAACCTGGGCTTTGGAGTGGGATGGGATTATGAAAGGTGGAAAGAAGAGACATAGTGAGAAGAGGAAGATATGAAACTATATGGGATGGGGGTGGGTAAGGATGGAAGGGAGGGGGAAAGCTGAAAGTTAGCCTAAGGATGGCCTGTAGGGGGGCAGCTTTTCAGGGCAATGAGGTGAGGGGAGAATCTGGTCGACGTATAGCTTCCCCTAGACGAGAAAGGGTCCTAGTCTGAGTGGAAATTGAAGGCATCCCCACTGGATTGCACGTAGGTCTCCAGGGCCTCCATCTCTTTTCTGAGTTTGGTGGGGTGCAGTAAGGTCTGGAGAACGCTCCCACAGGGTAGGAGAGCAGCACTTGCCCGCTTGCCTTGCCATCTCATGCAGTTGTTCGGTTTGCTGTGCTAGCCACCGCGGGACCATTCTCCAAATCAGTAACTTCCTCCAACTCAGAGAGACCCTGAAAACCAGACAGAAGTGTGAGGGGTGAGAAAGGAGGAATCATCTACAAAAGCAACCTCCTCCTCCTCTTTCAGTTTTGTCTTGTGTTCCTATAGCCCTTCTAATAGTTAGGCAGCTTTCTAATGTTCTCCCACATTTCTGGGTCCAACCATTTAGACATCCAATTCCCTCTTACCCACCTTTAGGAGAGAGATGTCCAGTCAGAAAACCAATTAGCATGAGTCTAGGACCCCTTCCTTTTCTCCCTGCCCCATTGTTTTCCTTTAAGTGCCATTGGCCAAAAGAGCCATTGGAAAAAAAAAAAAAAAATGAGCTCCTAGGTAGCTCCATCTTTCCCCCCTGCCCTCAGTACCTGCTGCAGCTCCCGGTAGTGCAGACTCTGTCTCCTGCAGCATCCTGGCTTCCTCTGGCTTAGCAGGAGTAGGGAATATGCTGAGACCAGCACTCCTCCTAGGGTGAAAGCCTCAGCACTGAGCTCCAGCACCAACAAGCCGTCCAGCTACAGGTAGACAAGGCTGAGGATGCTACAGAGGAACCAACACCTGTTGGCCCCTGCCCTTATCCCTCTCCATCTCCTTTGGCCTCCTTGTCTTTCCATCTTCTCCTTTACTCACCGGTACCTGGGAGGAAGCAGTCGCTGCAGACCCCAAGGCTGTCTTCATCACCTCAACCACCACCACGATGAAGCCCAAGATCAGATCGATGGTGTTGAGTATCATCATGGCCTGCACCTGCCAGTGAACCAGTTCAGCCCTGCCTAGCCTAAGGGGACTCATTGCAACCCCAAGCTCAACCTGCACCTACCCAGAAACAAAACTCAGCTTTTATTCTTCTAACAGGGCCCTTAGCCATCCATTTTATATATATATATATATATATATATATATATATATATATATATATATATAAAATATATATTTTATTGATTTTGTACAGAGAGGAAGGGAGAGAGATAGAGAGTTAGAAACATCGATGCGAGACAATCATTGATCAGCTGCCTCCTGCACCCCCGCCCCCACCGGGGATGTGCCCGCAACCAAGGCACATGCCCTTGACCGGAATCGAACCCAGGGCCCTTCAGTCCCCAAGCCGACTCTCTATCCATTGAGCCAAACCGGTTTTGGCCTTCCATGTTTGTTTTTGTTTTTTGCCTTAGTCTTTTAGTACTGTCAGGCAGAGAGCTGATAGGATTAGCTTGGAGAGCCACTCTCTAGGTTGAGGAGTGGTGTGTGTGTGTGTGTGTTTTGGGTGGAAAGAATAGTATTGCATTCACTTCCCCTCTCACCTTCCAAAGGCGGGGTGCTCTGCGCAGCTCAAGGGTAACAATCCCAGTGAGGAGACCCTGAATGGTGAGAAAGGCAAGGGTTGAGCTCTGGCCCTATTAGTGAAGGGCCCCCAGGATCTTTCTCCCATCCTCTGTTGTGGTGGATCTTACCAGTGCTCCAGGTCCAAGCGGCAGTGCTGTGGCCATGTGACAAGCAGAGTTCAGGCAGGCAACTGAGACAGCCAAGGGCACCACAGCCACTGCCAGCCATAGTTGGCTCACCTGGAGGCCAGACGCAGGGGAACTGTCAGCAATTCCCTTCCCTCCTCTCAACCCCAGCCATTGGCCGGAATGCCTGGTGGTGGAAAGTAGTCAACCAAGGGCAGTGAAGGAAGGGGATGTCATTTAATTTGTTCTGCCTGACGTCATAGTTTAGTTACTGCGTGCTTTCCCCACATGATGGAAGCTGCTTGTAGATTTTTCCTCCACCATCCTCCCTCTCAGAGTCTAACATTTTCAAACACGTGGTAAGCGTTCACAAAACATGGATGGAATGGAATTAGGGTACAAGTGGACATGCGGAAGCTTGGGGTAGGGCATCCTGGCCTCACCGCCAGCACCAACAGGTTCCCACTCTGCCTTTGCCTTGCCCAGTGCTGTAGCTTTTCCAGACGAGGGCTGGGTCTGGTTTGCTCTTGCTGACCAGCTCTGTCCTCCATGGCTCCCTTGATTGCTGAAGCTTGGGTTTTTTCCCTGGGAAAAAGGAGACCAGAAATGCAGGAGCCTCTATTTCAGCTGCCCCTCCGCATGCTTCTAATATCCAGGGAGTTGAGGCTCAGAACCTCTCACCTACCTATTCTGAAGCAGCTACTCCAAGGGGACCCAGCTGGGCTTGGAGCTCCTGGTGGGGCCTAGTGGCTCAGAGCTGACAGCAAACTTGTCTTGCCTGAGACAGGCTGTCAGGGTTGGGGTGTGGTGGGGCAAAGGTCTCTAAGAGGGCCAACCGGAAGTGGCCGTAGGTAGATACCAGCCTCTGTTCACTCCACGAGATGCCCAGCTCTGCCTTGTTTTGTTCCTGTTTCCTGTTGCGTCCATCTCTGCCCATCCTGGGTTCTTCTGAACGCCTGCGCATGGATGCTACCACCATGGGCCCTAATTCAGCCCCCAACCCCCATCTCCATCAATCTTTCTCTCTCTCTCTCTCTCTCTCTCTCTCTCTCTCTCTCTCTCTCTCTCTCTTTTTTTTTTCTTCCTCCTCAAATAATTTGCTGTTCCCTAGGGAAATCCCACATTACTGTCTGGATTGTTCCCATGTCATTGCCACTTGCAGCTTTGTCCCCAAACCAGGCAAGATTTAATTCCCTTGGCTTCCTATCTGTCACGTTCTGAATGGCTTCTCCTCTCTCCTTCCTTATTTTTGGAGGGTTTACTCTGGATGGGACACTGAGGATGGGGTGCCCTATTACAGTGGGGGTTGTTTTTAGCTTGGTGATCATCTTCAGCTAGACACGTATAGAAGAAGATAGTCCCCAAATGGCCGGTCTTGCGAGGATGCTATTGCAACAATTAATATTTTTTGAGAGATACAAGCTGCTTTGCAGCCAAGCTGACCTGTACTAAAATCTCAGCTCTGCCACTTTCCTAGCTGTGTGACCTTGAATACATTATTCTACCTATTTGAACCACTGTTTGTTCAAACGGAGTTATAAAACGGGGGCTAATAATATGACTGTGAAGGGTTGTTGACTCATGGTGGGTGCTTAGTAACCATTAGTGGCGCTGATGAGGTCATACTGTTGTGCCCGATGCCCATATACTAAAGGGCTTATTCAGAGGTTAAGCTGGGGATATTTATTTCTACAGCAAGCAGCAGAACCAGTGGGGGCCCAGATATATATATATATATTTAGAGATCAAAAATAGGAAAGATCATCTTGATGCAGAGCCCTGAGGTTTGGAGGCAACCAGACCTACGTCCAAATTCCAGATCTACCTGGCTGACCTTGTGCCAGTTACTTCATCTGTGTTTGCTTACCTATAAAGGGAAGTTAATAATACCACAGGGCTCCTTGGAGTATTAAGAGAAAATGCATATGAACCAGCTCAGCCCAACACCTTGCACCTAAGTGCTCAATGAATGTGAGTGGCTATTATCGTTATTGTTGATGATGGAAGGCCGAGCCAGAAGGCCCTTGGGAGCTAGGACACGGAGGCCAGGTTCTGTGAGGAGAGCGGCCTGGCCTTCTTTGTAAGCCACTTGTGCCCTGCTCCGTGCTGAGCCAACGCTCCTTGTAGCATTGTGTCCGCTCTTCCCTGGGGAGTGGGAATCACACTTAAAATGGCTGAGAACCGCTGTGTGCTAACTTTATTCGGTAGCGGTGGATGGTCTGGCAGAAGGGGAGATGCTGGCCTTGCACGGAGGCTCCCTGAGGCTGGCAGGCCAGTGGAAAGAGACTCTTTAGCTTCGTTTTCCTGACCTATAAACGTAACCTCACATTTCAGAGTGTAACTGTAAGGATTACATGCCGTTAAATAGGTGAACAGGCATTCAGTCATTATTGGCTCAATCGGACTCTACTACTTGAAACACACACATAGCCCCTGTCCGGATTACCATCTCCTGCGGGGACGGGGTTGCACCCCCTGCCTGTGCATCCCCCCGCGGCGCCGAGCACCGGGCCGGCACTCAGGAGCCCTCGGTAAATATTTGTGGCGTTGGAGGGCCGGCAGAGTGACCTGAGGAATGGGAAGCAGGATTCGAGAGGAAGGTGCGGGGATTGTTTATCGGGAACAGGAAGGGCCGAGGAGTTAACTTTAATACTGTTTCTTCCACGGCAGACATGAGCTATCTCTCTCATCGCCCCTCCTCCTCCTCCCCAAAAAGAGACACACATCGCAGGGAGAGGCTCGGAGATAAAGCCCCGGAGGAACTTCCCGGGCCGAGCGTGTCGGGGCAGAGCGGGCGCCGCGCTCCCTCCCTGGTATGTCCGGGCCGGGCGGGCGGGCGGGGCGGCGCGGAGGCCGGGGAAGGACGGGATGACCTTTCGAAACCCCTCCCGCCTTCTGGGGAGCCCGTCCGCGCGCCCCGCCCCCGCCCCCACCCCCCCGACAGCGCCCCCCGGCTCCCCGCGGCCCGCACCCCGCCCCCGGCGGCGGCTCCCGGGGCTCCCGGCGCCCCGGCCCCGTCCCCGGAGCCCGCGCCCGGCTCCCCGCGCGCCGCGCCGCCCCCCGCATGCTAATGGCCGGGCCGCCTCCCGCCGCGCACAATGCGGGCCGGGGCCCGGGCCGGGGGCGGGGGCCGGGAGGGGGCGGAGGCCGGGCCGGGGGCGGGGGGGCCGGGGCCGGCGCATCTCCCCCGGCCCCACGTAACGCTGACGCCCGCGCCGCCGGCCCGCCGCCCGCCGCCGCCGCCGCCGCCCGCTCCGCCGCCGCCCGCCCGCCCGGGGCTCGTGAGTAGCCGCTCCCCCCGCGCCCGGCCCCCCCTCCGCCGCCCGCCCCCGCCCGGCCCCCGCCCCCCTCCCGGAGGGGGGGCCCCGCTCCGCGCGCCGGGCTCGGAGCAGGTGCAGGGGGCGGGGGCGGGGGAGGGGCGCCGGCTCGACCCCAAGCAAACTTCGCCCGGAGCGCCTGGGGGGGCGGGGGGCCCCCCCTGCGGCCTCGGGAGCCAGGGGAGCCGGGGGGGGGTTTCGAGGGAGGGGGGCCAGGTGGGGGAAGCCGGGGAAGGGGGCACCAGAGGGGAAAGGCCAGCGGAGGGTGGGGTGGGGGGGGCCCGGGGACAGGCGTCTTTGTAGGGGCCCGAAGGCAGGGCGCGAGGGGCCTGGGGTGCAGGGCTGCACGGCCGGGAGCCTGAGCGGATGGCCGCCCCCCCCCCCCCCGGCCCCCCAGGTAGGGCTGATGGAGGCAAACTCCCTGGGATCGGGGGTGGGGGAGGGGAGAGGATGGGGGGGTGCTTCCCTCTCTGCGTCCCAAACAAAGTGTCACAAAGAGCTCGGCCGCCGCCGGCAGCAGCAGCAGAGGCGGCTGCAACTCAGCTTTTGTTCTCCCGGCCTGGGTAGCTGAGCCCTGGCCTTCCAGCCTTCCAACCCTGCCCCCCATCCTCCTCCTGGCTTATCTTCCCGGGCAGGGGTCTGGGGTGCCGCTCAAAGAACCTCTTGTGCAGGATCACAGGTCCTGTCCTACTTGCCAGCCTACTTGTGGGAGGTGGGTTTTCCCAGAGGCTCTCCTGCCCACCCGCCCCCGCCCCCTAATCTCAGCACTGGGGCCCCTATGGGTGCTGAGACTCTGACCTCTTAGGGTCAGTTCCAGTTCAGGGAACTCAGGGCTTGCTCTGTGCCCCCTCCCACAGATCTAGAACTTTCAGGAGAGGGATCAAGTTGGGACATGCCTCTGGAATAAGGCTCACCGCCATGGTGGGGTGGCAGGAGGTGAGCAGGTGTACCTTCCTCTTGCCTCCTGCTAGATTCTTGGAGTTCATGGCTAAGATTCCATGCCCCCAGCTCCGGAGAGTGTACACTCAGTGTGAAAGGTGGGCAGGCTGGGGTCTGTGGTCAGTTTGGGGGAGCTACCTGAGCAGTGATGTTTAGAGGGCTATGGAGAAAAGACCCCAAAAAGGGACGTTTGATAAAGGTGGTCTTGACTCTAGACCCTCGAAGTTCCTTTTCTTTAACCCCGTCTAATGCAGTGTTAATGATTGTTAGAGGGCTTATGGAGGTGTAGGAATAGAGAGAAAGACAGCAAGTATTAGAAATTATCAGTGAGCAGTGCCTCCCCACAGCTATACCTCAGAAGTCCTGAACCCTTGCCCCTTACACTGCCCCTATCAACTTTCGAACCACAAGGCTTGAGGGACAAATATCATGGTTCTCCAGTCAGCAGACGTTTCTAGGTACCCATCCCTGTTGTTTCTAAGAACCTTCTCGCCAAACCTTTCCTCCTTCCCTACTCGGTGAGGTTTGGTGGTCCACACCCCCTTCTCCACCAGCTCTCCTCGCACATAAAAGTAATCGGCCTGTTGCTTTGGGAAGATTTCTGATCCCTATCCCCCGCCTTGTGTCCCTATAGAACCCAAATAAGGGCAAGATAACCCCTGATTCCCAGTGTGGGAGGAAAGTAGGTCAGTGCTACTGTCTGGCCAAGTCTCAGGGATGGCGATTCAGGGCCCGACTATAGAAAACTGTTGCTTATTGCCCGCCAGCAATAGATGCATGACCCGGGTTCTAAACCAGTTCATAGAATCGTGGGCCCGGTCACTGTGTTCTCCTATGGGGAAAGCCTCGTCGGATTAGGTGCCTGCGACCTGGTTTGGTGTGGAGGTGATTCAGATCTTGATTGTGCCTAGAGGGTCTCTCAGTGGGTTTACTGATTTGAGGCTACCCTTTGGGGAAAGTTCCCCTGCTCAGGAATAATAGTTTCAGTATGGTTCTTCTTGTATATTACTGTATTTCTATCCTAGAAACTGCTATGTACGAAGCAGTGTTTTTTGTTTTTTTTTTGGAGGTAGGGTGGGGTGGGGGAGAAAGCTTTGTCCTATTCCAGCCCTACTTGCCTCAGATATGAGGTCAACTTCCCCTGAAATATTTTGCTTACTATCCTACAGGCAGTTTCAGGGGCTCTAGAATCTTCTCAGAATCAGAGTATGCGCCCATAGGTTAGTCAGCTATGACCATGCAGTATTCCCAGCCTTCCCCCTCCTCCCCCACCATCTGCTTCCTCTGAATATACCAGATTGGCTGTACACCAGGATGTTCCGGGAATCCCCAGGAGAGCAACAGAATGTGATGGACCCAAATATGATGCCTCACTCACTCGTTCCAGGATGTACAAACTGTAACTGTCAGGACACTCCTTATAGCTCATTAAAATTCTTCTAGTTACATCTATTTTGTTACATCTTATCTATTTTCAGTGTCATCCAAAAGGCAAAAATAAACCTTCTGGTACCACTGTTCTTCCCTCCCTCCCCCATGGCTTCCAGAGAAGAGATTTTTAAAATGTAGCTTTTCTCAGTGCCTCAATTATGGCTTTCAAATGCCAAATGTGGCCCCTCTGGCACTTCCTAGCACTACCTGGGTAATGAGGTGGCCACAGTGGCTCCTCTGGTAGCCCACTGCA